ATTAAGAAATCACTAAAGGTTATTGTCAGCTATGTTAGAATCAAGCAATGCCATTAAAAAAAAGCAGACAAAGAAATGAATGAACAATAGACTTGGAGCGCTTACCTTTAAGAACACTGTTTTCCCCTAAAGCGGACGACACATACTGTAGAAAAGTCCATAGTAAAAATATTTTGAGATTCATTTCTCAATCACAGAGGAGAGGAGAAACACTTTTAAAAAGCTGTAAACGAGTCTAAAATGTTCTGGGTAGAGGTTTTTTTGTTGTTGTTGTTGTTGCTCCTTGAGGCAACGCAGTGAATGTTGATCCAGTGACAAAAGGGGACAGAGAACCGGCGCGTCCTCTTTTTGGATGCTCGCCTCCTGGAGACCGACTCTACAACTACTTGAATCTGCCGGCTGAACGTCCCCTTTTCAGTTTTAAATACGTTCTCGTTGTAAGTCATCTGATCATCGGCTGATCTATCGTGGATCTTATTGGTCAAGCCCCCGATTGTTTACGCTGAAGGGCGTGGCGTCTCTTGAATGGAGAAGGAGTAGTAGTTCCTCACGTTTTTGTGGTGACGCAAACCCGGGTGGCATGTCTTGTCAGATGCCCTGTAGCTGTTTGACGCTCACGGGAATCAAACACAAACAGTAGATGGCAGAAACAAAGCGGGGGGGGGGGGCCGCAGGGCGTTTGTTTTCTTGTGGTGATAAAAGCTGAGGATATTCTGAGCCGCGTCATGGAATGGAAACCATCCATCCCACCGTGGAATATATTTAAAAGGCCGTGTTGCGTGGGGGATGGAGACCCCCTACCCATACCCACACTGAAAGCATCTTTCCCCTATTCTTGGCGCGCAGCCAAACCACCAGCTTAGTGGACCAGTTTCAATGCAGGAGGCAAAGAATGGGCCCACTCACGCAAGGGGTCTACAATACAGTCAGTGTTTGTGTGTTCATACATCAGGGTCTACCAAAAGGAAGTGGCACCTGCCACTGCAGCAGCCCCCCTTGGTACCTGGTTCCTGTTCTATGCATTTCAACCACACAAGTAAATATGTTTTGTTAGGGTTTAGAGATCATAGTCCCGAGATAGGGTAGCTCGTGACTGTGAAGCTGAAAGAAAACACAAAGCTTTTTAATAGCACTAATAAAAAAATCACCTGTGCAACTTAATGTTGCAAAGGTGCCGCCAAACATCTTTGACACATCAAAAAAAAAAAAAAAAAAAATTTCTGCACATCAGAGTCTCGGTTACATTCAGGTCTGAGCTTTGACTATGCCATTCTAACACATGAATATGTGTTGATCTGTTTCTTATTTTCATCACTGATTTTGTCAACAAGTCCTTTGTGCTTTCTCAAAATACAAGTGAGATAAAAAGTGAGCAAGCAAACTTGGATAACAAATGGTTAAAACTCAGCTGAAAATGCTGATTTTTGCAAACTAATGAAAATAAGAAAAATGCTGACGCAGACCTGACTTTATTTGTATGGAAAGGCAAGGTGAAGTGGAAAAACTTCAACCTTGCGCATAGCAGATATAACTTCCATGATTTTTTTTTTTATTTTTGTTTCATGAAAATGTGTTGAAAAATATCTAAATAATCATCTGTGTGTTTTTCCAAATTTAACCCTTTTGCAGGACACATTCAATAAACAAATTTCCTGCCGTAAAAGTTGTCCTCGATAATTTCACATTCATCAACTGAATTCTCAATTAAATGTTGAAAGTAGAGCTGAAAAAAAGTTCCTAAAACTCATAGATTCATCAGTGTTACTTTATATTAACACCTGACTCACAATGTACTTTCTGATTAATTTGTTGTGTAGCAGCCTTAAAGACACAATTTGTTTCTGTTATTTTAGTTAAATATGTGACAATTTAAAAAAAAATGAGCTAGTTTCTTTTAAAGTTAGGAGAAACATATTGTTAAAATGAAACACACATATGACACAGATCAAGCTCTGCATAAACTAATTATAGTCTCCAACCGTCAACAACAAAAGCTGTGCGGAACAAGACGTCGCGTCCTGAAGTGTCACCTTTACAAACAAAAGGTCAGACCCTCTAGGTTAATTTGACATTTTCTTTGTCAAAAGTTGGTAAAAAGGGGGGGGGGAAAGAAAAGAAAAAAAACCTCAATGTCCTAAATGTATTTTAAAAAACGAGGACAGGGACACTGGATTGTTTGAAAATAATTTCTTCTATTTTTAGCCCCTTACCTATTAATAACTGTGTGCTTATAAAGCTTCACATAGCGTCTGAGGAGGTCACTGGAGTTCAAGCGGAGATGTCCAGGTCATGTACCCTCTCTAGTGTATAAATAATTTATCTGACGTCACTCAGAATTTCGAAACGCTGGAAGACGTTTTGGATTGGACTTCTTCGGGCTCGGTGGTAAGTCGGGACGGATGCAGAAATCTGAGTGAATAAGTCTGATTAAACTATTACTATCAGCCAGTCTCACTGAAATTATGTGCATTTTTTTCTATACTCTTCCCTGGAGCTTGTAATACCGCTGAAAGGAGGAAAATAGTAGTAAGTGCATTTAGTCATGTCTGCCCACCCATACAGAGGCCAGGATTCTAATAAAACAGTTAATAAATGAGAGTGAGAGACGGGCGGTGCCTTAGCATTGAGTTTTATATAGTTTGGTGCTGTTTTCTGTAAATAACTTATTCTTTTATATGTCTAGCCAAATAACGTTAAACAGGTCGGATCCTAAAATTGAAACAGTTGTTATTTCATATTCTAAAAATCCTTAAATTCTCCACAAGATTCTGCCTGAGAGGCATGTTTAGTGATTCTGGTTTAACAATTAAAAGATTAAATCCACACATTGAAAAAAAAAAACAACAAAAAAAAAACATTCATCAAACATCTTATTTCTTGAAGTGAAAGTAAAAAACGTTCCACAAATGTAGTTGACATTTTCTTTCATTCTGTTTCAAGCTGCAGGACAATGAACAGCGTTGCAGCTGTCACTTTAGAAACAGTCCTGGAAGTCATTAAGATTCTGCAAAACATGTTGCAGAAATAACAAAAAGCATTAAATCATACTCTTAAAGTATTCTTGCAGGACAAGGAAGGCTCTGTTGTGTAAGATTCATTGCATTTCCAGCACATCTAAATCCGGAGACGTTCCACGGAGCAAGAGGCTAAAAAGAAATCACAGTTTAGCCTTAATCATGAAAGCAGCAGGGATTCTTTAGTTTGCTGTAAACATTGAGTAAGATGAGCAAACAGAAAGTCATCTGACGTTATATTTATGTTTTTCACCTGAGCATGACAATGACACCAAAGCAAACCGACGATACGTCTCCAGAAAGAGCTCCATGTGCTTCTCAGAACATGTGGTGATGTCAGAACCTGGCATTCATGTTTACTTTGACAGCCAGAGAAGCCTTCAGTGAAGGCCTCGTGTTATTCTTTCCGTCCACTCAGCAAGATGTCAGGTCTCGGTCTGGGAGCCAGGTCGGTTCTGCACCGTGCCGACCTGTCCTCAGTTTGTTCTGTGAGGTCTGCGCGGCAAGGAACCACTACACGAAACTTAAATAATCACACAGAGCAGAGGTTGTCAAGGACAGCAGAAAAAAAACCTGCTTAAACATTTTTCAGGTGTCAGGCGGAGCTTTGATTCATCCTTTAAAGCCTTTGTTAGAAACTGCAGCAGTGAAATATCAAATTAGAGCAAAGCTCGCAGCGTCTGCAGACACTTTTGGAAGAGGCGGCACGCCACTTGTTTCTGAAATTTCTAAACTGAGCTAAATTATAGGTTTCCAGTCGTGATGTTTAAAGGTGACCTTGATGTTTTCAGCTAAAGCGGGTGATTGAGTACAAGGAAATAATGACACTGTTTTATTAAATGGAAATATTTCAAAGGGCGACTGGTTGGTGTGATGGAAAACACTGCTGCCTCACCTCAGTATACTGCCTGGCTTGCATGTGAGGCACAAACCAGGCAGTTCTACCTTTGCTCGATGGTTGCATGTTCTCCTTGTTATCTTTCTGGCATTTCTGGCGGTATTCCGTCCATGATCATAAAACTGTAATCAAAAACATATGGGTCGTCTTGGGGATGAACTGGCTATTTTTTTCCTCCCACAATTTATTTGTGTTTTTCTTCTTCTGGATGTAAACAGAGGATATAGTTGTTAACAGAGGACAGGGTGAGGCGCTGTGCTGTTCATGCAGAGCTCATGAAAGGTGCATCCTGATGGGGTGTGGGTGTGTGATCAGAATGCCTCCACAGCTGGGGTGTCTATCTCATTTTCAAAGGGCCAGTTGTGACAGGATGTATTGATAAAACTACCCATTAACTACCCTATAGCAAACTGTTAAAACACTTACTAAATAGCTGTCTTTGCATTCAATGAGTTCCTCTTTAATCAAATAATAGAGAACATCTTTTCATACTGATGTAATTTGACAATATGTAGAAACACCGGGCTTTGATTTGATTGATGAAATAACATTTAAGCACACAACTGTAATCTTGTAATCTATCTAGGTGTTCTACTAGATTCTACTAACTAGAATTTAGAGAGCCACATAAAAATGTATGGATTTGGCCCCTTGGCCTTGAGTTTGACACGTGCTCTGCAGACTTAGCCCTTGAACATTAGAAACTCTCCAATATCCAGGGAGAACTCAGACTGTATCGCTGCTATCAGCTCTAGTCTGCATTCGAAGGTGTTGGATAAGACAGAGGTGGTTGGGCATCTGAGCATCTGATCACTACTCAAATGATCAAATCTGACATGTATGGATAAATTGAAGTTTAATGTTTAGACTCTAATTAAGTGTCTTTTTTATTTTATGTGTGTTTCGTGTGTATTTATTTATGCATATGAGCTTGAAATTGTATTAATCTGTACGTATTTTTAAAAATATGCGAAAGCTTGTACAGTTTAATAGTGCAGTCAGATATTTAGAAAATTGCCGCTTCAGTTTACGTCAGCCATGACAACTGTGGCACCAAAAGTAAGACAGCAGCGCCCCCATGTGGCCAAACCAGTTGGCCGGTGACACAGCAGGAGGCGGAGGGGAGCAGTGAAGCCAAACCGGATCCTTCATGAGGGAAGAGGCCAGGGACAGGCACTAGCCCCGGCTTCTCTTCTCTTCTCTCATATTATTCTGCATTGCAAGCCACGGGAGCCCAAATAGGGGGCTGAGTCAGTGTTCGTAGGATGTCCCGTCATGAAGGTAAGACCTAATTTTACCACAGACCGGAGGGCACCCCGCAAATTGTAATAAAAACGTTGACACAGTGCACCGTCGGCTAACTCTTGCTAGCCGACAAATTCTCTATTTGCAGCTCGTCTTAGCTAACGTTAGCTACTGTTAGCAGCGTGTGTGCGCTAAATGGTTAACAACCCATTTTGCCGGTCTTAAAATAAATATTTAATATAACGGCTCATCTGTTTGCAGTTACTTTGAGTAAATATTCATAATTCCACTTTAGTCAGCGCTGTCACATAGGCGGAAGAGGCTAGTTGAAGTTAGCCGAGTGCTAACTTAGCATGCCAGCTCTGCTATGTGGTAATGTAGGTGATCGTTGAGGAGCAAGGGGAGTGCCGAAAATAGGCAACATTAGAGGACAGCGGATCCCAGATGGCGTTGGAGGAGTGGAAGCTTGGAAATTATTCCTGTTAGCTGCTTTAGCTCCGTTCCTGGTGAAAGTTGGCCTGTAGATATCAGCTTCGTTAGCTAACGAACTGCAAAACTAACAATCACCTCGTCCTTGTCACCAACCTTGTTTGGCTTGGAGTTGTTTACTCGAATAAAATGTAAACAGATGTATTAACTGCGATATTACTATAAAGTTTATTCAGGAACATTGCACTGGCTTGTCAGTTAACATTTTGCCCAACGGTAGCTGGTTAGTTGCAAAGGTTAGTTCGGCCCTGGACGGCCTCTGTTTCCATGTTTGTGTTGTTGTTGTGAACTTTGCTGTCAGTTGTCGCCAAGTTATATATCAGAGAGAGTTGAGTAATTGTCCTGAATTTAAGAAACGCGTATTGACTGTGAATAAAATGTTTACCGGATTAAAAGGCAGGTCTAGTGTCAGCCAAGGTTCATACTTTCATTAGTTTGTTTGGAAAACAGAACACGGAAAAGTATTTGTGTTCCCAGATTTAATTCCCTTCAACTTCTTTTGTAAGATCATTGAATTCAGAGATCTCAGCTGCCTAAACAAACAAATCAGAGGTGAGATTTCTGCTGCTGGACAGTTTCTAAACGTTTTTAAATGGGTCCTTTAAATTTAGACTATTTGCTTTTTTTTTTTTTTTGCATGAAATGTTTTAGCTTCTGAGTTTGTCGGTGGCACTACCAAGTTTTGTTTGTTTAATTGCAGTACATTAGATAATGTATTTCAAATCCAAAAGTGTGAATGACACAGATTAAATTATTTTATAGTAAAGATTATGGCTCATTTTTGAAATGGGCTTTTCTTTAAATCACAGCCAGACTGAGCATTGTACTTGTGCATCAAATTAGCTGATATTGCTTGTTTATTTGGGTAATTAAAAACAACAAACTTCCCATAGAAGTGAGGATTTATCGTGAACAATTTTGAATTATTGTGTTGTCATGATAAATTCCAATTAATATTTAAGGGGGAAAAATGAAATATTTTCAATTATTTTTACTAGTTTTGTAATTTTTGTTCCATATAAACATTAAGTAATATCAATACATTTAAATAATGTGATTTAATCTGATTAAATGCACTTATTGTCTGCAGTGTAGTCATACAAATCACACTTCATTGTGTCACTAGTGTCCTAAAGAAGCCTGCTTTTAAATGGGGATGTTTTTATAGCTCCGTATTTATGCTTGTGGGACTTGATAATTCTGACATATAGTCACAGCAATAGTTACTTTTTTTTTTTTTAATTTGAGGCAATAGATCATTTGATTTTATCATAATCATACCAGTACCAACAAATATTGTAATAAAACTTTAGTTCCATATCCCTCACCAACATCTTCTCTTCTTAAAGTACATCAAACAGGATTTTGGTAGACCAGAACCACAACAATAAGCTTTAGTTATGTTGTTACAAATGAAAATAAAAAAATATATACGAGTGTTGATTCTAGGTATCTTTGTGTTCACCTCGAATCTCAGAATTTCTTCCAATTATATAATAGCTGTTTGGTTTAAATATGTTACGTTGACCAACCATCAGTTGGTCAGCGTTTTTTAATTCACGCGTTTTTGTTCAGCTTGTGAAACGTTCCTCTTTTTCTACGTACTGATGATGTTAAAGTATTTCTTGACTGTGTGCATAATGTAGCATGATGTTCACTGTATCTAAAAAACGGAAATGTGTGTCGCATCAAATGTAACGGTCGTTAATAAAAACAAAAGATTTATTTTTTTCTTGCATTAGATAATAGATTTAAACGTCTGCTGTCACAGTCTGATGCGGTCATTCATATTGTTGAACTTTTGCATGTGTTCTCCTTCAGGTGTGAGCTGCGACGCGTGTTTAAAGGGCAACTTCAGAGGTCGACGGTACAAGTGTTTAATTTGCTACGACTATGACCTGTGTGCGTCATGCTACGAAAGCGGTGCAACCACGACCAGACACACCACAGAACATCCCATGCAGTGTATATTAACAAGAGTTGACTTCGGTACGTGAAGCTAAAGTGAACATGAGGCACATTTTGAAAATGTGTATAACATGCTACATTTTGGCAGCATGACTCATCTGTATTTTTAATTTGAAGTAATTTGCCAGTGAAGTCTCTTAGGAATACGACGTTCGTATTCATTTGTAGTTCTGTTTCTGTAAACAGAACTCAATAAAGGTGTAGTTTTTTTCTGTCCAGAAAACATGAATTCAATTAATTAAAGTATTAATGTTCATGTAGTTGTAGGTATTTTGCTTTTGTCTCTGGTTTTGAACATAGATAATTGAAACCTGGCGGCTGGATATTTTGCATAGATCTGACTTGATTGAATCTTAGAATGTTATCTACTTTTTTTGACATATTTTAAATTGAGAGGCTTTAGTTTCCAAATGAACTTGCAGTACTTGTCGTTCCTAGACAGACTTAAAAAGACATCAACTTTTTTTTTTTAGTATTTTCCATGTCTGTGTGGAAAAGGATTGATTTTTCTTTGCTGTTAGCACCATCCTCATCACTACTGCAGGCACAGTAAAGACGCAATCAGGTTAAACTATCGGCCTGCGTATCTAAAAAACTGGACTATTTGTTATTTAAGCGATTGGGTCTTTGAGTTCTTATTCTGCATTTTTACATTTATAAATGCAGATGACCTTGAAAAACTTGAGCATTTTCTGGAAAACTTTGTGAGCAGTAGAACCCTGAGTGGCGCTGACTGACGTTGCTGCTTAAAACTGACATCCATCTATCCTTTTACCCGTCCATCCATGTGTCTGTCCATCCAGCTGTCCGTTCATTCATCTGTATGTTTGTCCGTCCCTCTGTCTGTTCAGCCATCTGTTTGTCCTTCTGTCTGTTTGGTCATCCGTCTTTCCATGGATCCATCAGTTTTTCTGTCTGTCCTTCTCTTTTTGTCTATTTTCTTTATTTAACAGACTAAGTCAAATTATGTTTACTCCAGTTAAGGCTGTCACAATAAGCAATTAATCATTTGATTCATTATATTGTGATGACTTTTGAAGGGCAATTTTGTTTAGAGACTTCATATGATCTATTTTGTTTCTGTTTTTGGTTGTGTGTGGTTTTTATTTCCTTTTTATTTGTTGTGCTTGGTTGTTTTATTTTTGACATTTAAAATGTCTTTCACTTCTGTTTTTAAGTGTTCTGTACAAAATTAAAGGTATTTTTAGTCTTTGAGAAGGCAAACTTGCGTTATTATACCATTCTAAATATAATACTCAGTAATGATCTCAAAACAACAATATTTATATTTTATCATCCAGTAATATTTGTTACTGTGTTACCTGACTCCACTTTCATTCAGATGTTAAGAATTAAGTAAATAATCAGACTGATTTATGTAAGAAGCTTTAGAAACAAATGTGTGGTTTAAATGACATTTTAACTTGATGACCACAGTTGCATCGTCTACCGGGGGTCTCGACCTCCAGTCTGTCATGTAACTCTTAGATGCATTCCTAACTCTACACGTCTCAATCAAGTAATTGAATTATTGCCTCAGCATGCAGTCAAGTCCTGCTTAGTGACCTAATTATTTGATTCAGGAAGGCTGAAGGAAAAAAAAATCTCTAAAGGGTGCAGGGCGTCACCGTTAACAACGGGTCTATGAAATAACAATCTGAAGATATTATTTAATAGCTTTATTAGAATCACAGATTTTTTTTTTTTTTTTCTTTTGTATTTTTTCTGGAATGCTTGTGTGCACGCCAGAGCTGAAAGCAGTTTGTCTTCGTTTCAGACCTGTACTATGGCGGAGAGGCGTTCTCGGTGGAGCAGCCTCAGGCCTTCACCTGTCCCTACTGCGGCAGGATGGGCTACACAGAGATCTCCCTGCAGGAGCACGTGGCTGCAGAGCACACGGAAACCTCCACTGAAGTGGTGAGTGGGCGCCTTAAGATCGGTCGTCTCCGTTTAACCCCGTATAAATGTCTGGCTCGACTTTACCGCTGAAAAAATAAATAAATAAATGCTTCCAGCTGCAGTCTGAGTAAAATAAATGGATTGCAAATAATTTGTGGTCGTTAAGTCTTAGTTTCAAAGCCAGTTCTGATGGGAAGTGTTGTCAGGTTGCTTGTTTACAGGCAGAACCGATAAACAGGGAAACAAATGGTTTATTGCTGTGAAATAATTCAGCACTGTGCTGTATTGTTTGATATTTTTCTCGTGTTACAGTTTTGCATACAGATTATGACAATTTTGCCGTCCTGCTATATGACCATTGTATCTGTTAGGCCACAGTGGAGAAATATCCCCAGATGTGAGAAGAAACTGATTTGCAAAGCTCTCGTGTAATAGAGGGGAGTTTGTTGATCCTGACTGTCAAACATGTAGCGTATTTAGTCACTCTAATTAATTGTTACTTCATCTGCACGGCTTTCTGTGTGGGAGACGCACGAACTCACACAAGATTAGGATTCAATTACTGTTTGAAACATTTTCTTATGTCATCATTTTTTTATCTTCCTTTCCTGGAAGAACTGAACCCTTCACTTTCAGTACACACTGCTGGAAATAACCATCAAGCCTTTCGCTGATCTTGCCTGCGTTTTGTTTGACAAGAGAGGAACTTATTGTCATGCAAGTTGTCAAAGATGGAGACAGAGGATGTGAAAAGGGGGTAATTCAGAGAGGACACATTTAGAAAATCCAGACTGCAGCTGATGAATACCTTCAACGGTTTCTTGTGAATTAAACAAGCAGTTAATGAGGTCTACCTGTTGTGTAATTAACTTAAGACGATACAGTTTAATTATTAAGTTGGGACAACATTAAACTATTAAAAGAGGAAGTCCTAACTCCAACACTTCTTATATTAGTGTGGTGGTTTATCTTGATGCTGAAACACAGACTTTAATTTCCATCAGACAATTTTCCAGGATCAGTAAAGACAGCTGATCTCTCAGGTAGACAGCAGTATGTAACATATTTTTAACTGTATTTCTCTTTATTCCAATGTTTGAACCTCCTTTGGTTAGTGTCTGTTGTAACATAAATATAATTTCAGCTAAAAACATTTAAATCTAAAGAAATTGAACAGCTCACAATCATCAGCATCACATTTCTACTCTTAATTTGTTGTGAAACATTTTATTTGAAATGTGAGCCACACATTTTCCACTTCAGCTCATAAACAGTTCGGATTTAAGTTCCTCTGTTGGATGGATTGACTCGGGTGACAGAGCTTCCATCAACACATATATTGATTTTTTTATTTTATTACTTGGCTTTTAAGATTAACTGAGAGTGGTATACTGCTGCATCACTCCAGACATCTCAGGAGAATAAGGCTTCAAGTGTAGAGTATTTGGTTTACATGGACAGAAAATATCACAACAAATAATGAAAATAAATTCTAAATTAAACTTTACATACACAAAAAGCTACTTTTCTAAATGTCAGTCTGGTAAACATGTTACCATTATAAAAAAAAAATACTGTTCTAGGTGCATTTTTCAGTAAAATGACATTTCTAAATCAAAAACAGATTTGATTTGAGAGTTGATGAAAATGAAGTTCTGTTTCCCCGTCGGCTACAGAGTCTGCTCGTCAAAGATAGAAACTATTTTTATGTTGATCTGAGTGAGAAAAACCTTTATAAAAATAGTCAGAAATGGTTCGGGTCATCAATTTACAATCTGACATGCTAGACCAAATCCAGGTTATTTGTTCTCATTCGATGCTACATTCATGTCGGAAACGTTACGTTTCCCTGGACAGAACTGTGACAGATTAAGGTGGTCTTTGAGTAAATAGAAATAGAGATGTGAACTTTTTTTTTAAAACATGAGAAGCTTGGTCTGATTTAAATTCAGACAGTTAGCATCACAAATTATATCTATTCACTTACTGCCAAAATAATGAAAGAATTTGATTTTCTTTTTTTTTTTTTAATTAATGTAAACTTCTGGTTTCATCTGTACGTAGTGTGGACTAAGCATCTACAGTTATTTAAATTTTTATTAGCATCAAACATATTGTGATTAAAACATTCTGGTCTAAACTCTTACTTGATAACGTTTGCAGTCCTTAAAAATAACAGTATTGAAATTGTTTCACATATTTATACACAGTTGGCTGCACAAGAGCATCAATAAATGTTTATTTACAATTTCTTAACTATCTTAATTAGTGTGCTGAAGTAGTTTATTATTAATGAGTGAGGCTTGCTTATAGATCAGTAATTGATATATAAGCAAATAGATCTGATTGTAATTTTTAAACTGTTTTTATTACTATGGCGATAACCATCTCATCAACAATTGGTAGTGAAGGGGATCTTGTCAGGATGTAATGTTGGGATCTATTGCTGTAATATTTCTGAAGAAGACCCAGTTGGTCGTTGTGTGTGGTTCAGTTAATATCACCATGTTTTTTTTTCCTCTTGCCGTTTTCCAGATATGCCCCATATGTGCAGCACTGCCAGGTGGCGACCCAAACCACGTGACGGATGACTTTGCTGCTCATCTCACACTTGAACACAGAGCCCCGAGAGACTTGATATCCTTTCATCACTCTGACAGTCACACGTATATTCAGAACAGCTTAAAAAAAATGTGTTTTTTTTTTTTTTTTTTTTGGTCAACTAGATTTGCACCCATTTAGTCTGTAAATCGGACATGCTTTATTTCTCTCTAAGCCTCAGGTACAATAAAGTATTGTACTGGTATTATTTGGTAGTTCAAAGTTCAGAAAGTGATTTCACCTGCACAATTCTAAGAACCCTGAACCATTTTAAATGTTGTTGTGCAGCTCGTAATGAAATCAGTTGGTTTGCTTGTCAGGAAGGAGCTGAAATACCTTGGTTCTAGAATAGCCTCAGGTCTGACCACATCAGCCTTGTGGTCTATTTATAGGACACTTTGAGCAAATGCTTCAGAGAAAACAAAAGAGGCAGAAATACTCTGAAATGAAACTCAGAGCAGGGCTTTCAGAAAGCTTTACACAATGTGTCTTGGCTTGGTTTGGGTTGTGCAGCCCGTTTCTCTGTGATTGGGAAGATTGGAGCAGGATGCAAATATGTTTTCAAATCACAGCTGGTGCTGAAGCTCCGTCAGGCTGTAGGAAGCACGTTCTAGTTGTTTTAATGCTGCAGTAAGCAAATATACAAGAGCCAGTTTTTCCAATGTGAATATCCTCTTAAACTGTTGACAAGAATGTTTTCTCATGAGAACATTTGATAAGATGTAGCTGGTTTTTTTTTTTGATACATACAGCAGATTTAGCTTCCAGTTTTTTTTTCCTTAATGGCGAGCGTCACGACGAGTCGAGCGGGGTGCGGCACGTGAGGAGGATGTTTCACCCCGGGCGTGGGTTGGGGGGCCCGCGAGCCCGCAGGTCTAACATGCATTTCACCAGCAGCACCACAGGGGGGCTCTCCACCAGTCAGAGCTCCTCACAGAGCTCCAACTACAGCAGAGAGGCCATGGATCCCATAGCAGGCGAGTAGACGGCTGCAGGCTCTGCTGGACCGACGTTACTGCAGAAGCTGCTAAAGTTTTTTTTTTTTTTAAAGATGTATTTTGCTCAGAAATGTCCCTGTCAAAGAACAACTTCGTTTTGTAAGTTGTCTTTAAGAACCTCATGTTGTAGAAATGTATACAAGTTTTAGTGTGGCCTAGTCAAAGCCAAGACACATCTCAAATTGATTTGAGATGTGTGTGGTTCATGCACAGAAACCCTTCAGTGCTGCTGAATTAAAACAATTCTGCAAAGAGCCGGCCAAATGTTTCCACATGTGTGCAAAAACTAGAGATATTACTAACATATTGGCATTGATCCGATGAATAAAAATGAACCGATATTAACATCCAATATTTATATTAAAAAAAAGGTAAATATGGGATTTCAATATCATCCCAAATTTTAATATTAGTGCAGCCATATGAAAAACATTGTCAGTTATTGTGAACACTTCAGGCAGCCCCATTTTGTTAATAAATAGCACAGTTGCCTTCCTTGTGTGTCGATGAGTGCATCAGTAATTAGCAGATATTTAAACCCTGCTAATGGCTTAATTGTAGAAAAAAAAACATATCCTGTTGCTTCACAATTTGCTTATAAAAGATGGAGATTTGCAGTAAAGTCAAAACCCTCATTTTGACTCATTGATATTAAAACATTTAACAAATTAATTGGTCCTGTCAGTGTCTGTGCTACTAAAGGGGACAAATTTGAGAGCAGTCAAAGCATCTTTATTCCATCTTCTTTGCTTAGTTTTAATCTTTCTTTTTTTTAAATATCTAAGGCATGTTTCAGTGGCTTTTAAAAAGTTTGTTTTGTGTGGGAGGGGATTGTTGCTGCGGTAATTCCTTGTTTATCCTGTTCCTGATTTTAATTTGGTTCAGCGCTTGGCATTCGCTCCGCCACCCCCAGCTGCGTCTTAATGAGGGCCAGTGTTCAGCTCCACACAGAGCGCCAGTGTCCTTTCTAATGACCCGCTGTACCTGCTGAGCTTTGATCCCACGGCTCTGGTTCTGGAAGAGGAAATTTGTCTGTGAACGTGTAGCTCACACCAGTAAAGAAATGAACGATTTCACGTTGCAGCTGTGTTGCCTTTTGTTTTTCTTCGTGAGAGCTTGCAGTCTGGTAATGATCTTGCGCTCAGCAAGGTCTTCCCATCACACTTTCTGACTCTGAACTCTGTGCGTCTGCTTCTCGTAGAGCTCCTGTCCCAGTTGTCGGGGGTACGGCGTTCGGCGGGGGGCCAGCTCAGTTCGGGTCCCTCTGCCTCGCAGCTCCAGCAGCTTCAGATGCAACTCCAGCTGGAGCGCCAGCAGGCGCAGGTGGCGCGCCAGCAGCTGGAGACGGCCCGAAACGCCAGCCGAGGGGGCGGCCGAGCCAACGCCATCCTCAACACGAATTCGACCGCCGCAAACCCCAACCCCAGCGCCAACCACACCAACAACCCCAGCCCCCACCCGGGGGCGACTGAGCCCAACACACAGCACACGGCACACAGCTCCCAGTTTCTACTCAGCAGGTAGGAACATCTACCCTCCGTCTGACACTCATTACTTCTGATGTGGCTTTTTACTGATAATTTCATAAACCACAGGATCCAGATACTTTGATTTGCCATAATTAGTTCTGTGATGCTTGGTTTAACAACAGAACGCCAAATGTCAATGTTTGATCTTAAATACCTCACTATGAACAGCAGGGGGCTCCAAACCATCTCTATGATGCAGTTAAGTGTTGAAACAGCAGGTGGATTATGTAAAAAAAAAAAAAAAAAATCACTACAGGCCCAATCGCATTCAAAGTACTGTGAGGTAAGATACGTTTAGAGGATTTTGAAGCATCTAAAACATGGTGACTTTGAGTCGCCTTGAATTTTATACCTTTCCTCCAAGAAGACAGACACACAAGGTCAGAATGACTTATGATCTCCAAACTGTGTTTCCACACAGGTATCTGTAAAAGTGCTAAAGGGTTAATACGTAGAACAGACCTCTAAGTTGATCCTTGTGTGAAGACATAACCGCTTCCCGTTCCGTCCCGCAGGCTGAGCGAACCGCGGCTATCTGAGGTGGAACGGCAGGCATGCGAGGCCCAGTGGGCCGACAGGAGCCTGTTCGTCACCGAGCTGCTGCTCTCCACGCTGCTGCCCGACGACGATGCCTCGGCCTCCTCCTCCGAAGACGAGGACGATTGTCACGGCTCGTTGCGAAACTTCGCCGACTTCGAGGCCATGGGCTGCGTGGAGGTGATGACGTTGGACGTGGCCCTGGAGAACCTCAACCTCAAGGAGACGAGCCCCGCCCCGAAGAAGACGAAACTGGCGACTAAAACGGCACCCGCCAAGAAAGAGCCCCCCGCGCCGCCCCTTTGATGACATGGCCGCTCCCTTTCCCCCTTCAATCCACCATTGTGACTAGCCGACTGCTCCGTCAGTCCAACTGCCAATGGATGACAAAGACTGCAGTTCTTCATGGCTTTTTTTTTTTGTTTTTTTTTCTCAGTGATTGTCATTTCAGTTCTGTCGCTCCCCAACTCCACCCCATGTTTTACTTTGTGTACATTGAATAAAAGTAGTGAGACGAGAGAATGTGAAAGCAAGCAAGCGTGTCGGGTGTGTGAGACAAAAGAGAACTATATAAATATATTATTAAAAAAAAAAAACTCTATATGAAAGTTGATAATCAGTCCCACATAACCCGTGTTTCCTCTAGCAGAACGCGTAGTCCGCTGTTTTCCAGAGACAAAAACTCGTCACACACTCACAGAAGGAGAGGAGGCCGACTGAAACCCCTCCGCTTAATAAAAGAAAAAAAAAAACGCTGCTGTGTATTTATAGATATAAATTAAAGTGCTTGGATGGTTTACCACAACTGAAGCATGAGCTTAAATCACCATGTGCCCATTTTAAACTGCACAGTCACCAGACGGGGAGGCCCTGACTAACTATCAACTGTTCGGTGCCGCTTCTCCGGCATCTTTCCACCACACACACACACACACACACACTGACTGTTTTGTTAACCCTAATGTCAAAGTCTCAAGCCCCTCCCCTTTGTGTGACACCAACTTTTTTTTTTTTTGGTTGTGTGACCTGGCTTTATATCGACTGTGGGCACTTTGGTTTTGAATTTGCATATCCAGTGTCCATTTATGTACACTACAGCTGTTCTGCACAGAAGCGAAACACACACCTCCGAGGCGAAAGAGACGAAGCGATCTCTTGGTTGTGACCGTTTTCAGGCCTTTTCTAACAGAAGCAACGCGAGCCTTGGTCTCCTCACACGGTTGTTTTCCCTCTCCTCTCTTCGTCTTTCACAGGAGATCAGATGCTTCTTTCCTCCAGCTTCATGTGTTCTGAAATTAATCTCATGAATACAAAGATTTACTCATCATGTGACTTGGAAGGAGAGGATCCCATATTGCTCTTTCCGTCAATCTCTCTACGAGTCCAAAAAGATCTTTGTATGCCTCCACTGCTAAACTGAAGAAATGCAATGTATGTTTTTTGGCTCAGGAGAAGAGCCAAACGACAGGGTAAACCTTTTCAGTTTGGAGGACAATAAAACATTTTTTGGATGGAAACAGACTAACCCAAATCCTGCTGTCTGGTTAATTTGTTTTTTTGTTTTTTTTTGGCTTTTATTTTTTTCCCCAGTTGCCAATTTTCCTGGCGAGCATGTACAGAATAATGGTATAAGAAAAAAAAATAAACACATACCTTCCAGGTCGAGTTCAATCTCATGTAGTCCTGTCATCTGATGCATCAGTTGTGCAACTTTATTTGTGTAGCACATTTCAGCAACAAGGCGGTACAAAGTGCTTTACTTCATAAAAACAAAGTTAAAAAAAAGCAGCTGTCCTTGTTTACAGCTGCTCCCTGTAGTTGCCTTTAAACAATTACATTAACCAGCCATAACTCGCCTAATTCATTGAGAAAAGTAAAAGGTTTTTACCCTATATGTCCTAATAAACTAGGAGAAACTATGTAGTCTAATTTTGTTTCTGCTTATTTGAATGAAAATTAAAAATTGTGCATTTGGGTAAGTTTATTCAATTACAAATTGACTGAGAAAAAAAATGTTTCCTCCCTCAGGTTGTTTCCTTGAAATAACACAGCTGTGTTATTTCTCACAGAAAGATTCACTTACAAAGAAAACAAGTTTTTGGAATGCTATCTGGGGAAATGTCAAAAGCATTGCACACTTTATGAAACACGGTAATGGCCACATATTTGAGCTAGGAACAAAAACAGCCTAGAGGTGCATCTTCAGTTTAATAAAAAGGTCATTTATTCCTGTAATTCAGTTGCTAAAGCAAAACTCATACAGTGCTGTAAAAAGGCACCACTTTTTTGTTGCACATAAATATTTCGGGATTTTAATTTCAACGATAACCAAAGAAGACACAATGCATCAGGGAATTACCCAAAGAGAACCTATCTGACTGCATGAAGTAGGCTAAGCGATCAAAAGCAGCTCATGGCCCGATCTAAAGACATTTGTTGACATTGGTCTGTCTGGAAAAGTTTACAAAGACATTTCTAAGGCTTTGGCACGCCAGAGAACTATTATTAGAGAGAAAGTGGAACCTTCACAGGAGTGTCAAACCTACTAAAATTACTCCAAGAGCGCATTGTAGACTCACCAGAATGTTTTCCAGCAAACCTCCGAGGCCTTCACCGAACAGCTGCAGCCTTACCAAGATTAAATTAGACACACATAGTTACTAATTAGAGGTAAATGTATTGGATTGAAACAGTAAATGGAACCAAATACAAAGGCAAGCCACAATTCAATTTGTTTATAAAGTAATAAAAATGTCCGACGGCTGTTAATACTTTTGCAGTGTGTTAAATTCAACATAAACCGAAGCCGATTTGCTATTGGAAACAAACAAAAAAGACCTCAAAGGTGTTTATCTAGGTTTTAGTTCATTTTCATTAAATCTAAGCTGTAATTTAAAACGGTTGAGTTCTGTAATCGACTCCGGAGCTTTTATAATTTGCAGAAGCCGCATTTTATAAACAGCCAAAAGACTTCCTGTTGTCAATTAGGATGACAAACCACAAACAAATACCTTTTACAAAACAGAAACAACGCCATTATAAAAGCCTTTCAAAGCCCCAGACAGCAGGGGGGTTGTGGTTTCTATTTCTTTTTGGTTACTGATTCAACCGACATGAAATAGGAGCCATTATCCCGTTAAATGTACGCGGTGTCACTTGCTGTGTGCAAGAATTGATCCAGCCTCTTTTTTTTTTCTTTTTTGTCCAAGCATTACTGGAGAGGTTTCTTAAATTAAACCCAGCAGACACAGACACGATGCTGGGAAAGTATGTGCCAACATCTAAATAAGATCAGCCTGAAAAGATGTGGCAGATTCACGCAGCCTTTGTCCATGTCGGTATCCGTAGGAGACGGAGAGAATGCGAAGCAGAGGGGGGGAATGAGAAAACACGACTAAAGTCATGGAAGCATGTTTCACATGGTCTCAATCTATGTTTAATGTTTTTTTTCCCCTCTGACTTTCAGCTTTAATCACGTTTGTTTGAGTAACAGGCACACAATTCTCTAAAAAATACCCCAAAACCTTTAAGAAAAAGTTTCAACCTCTTTAATTAATCAAGATTGCTTAATACAAGATGGTCTCCTATGGTTATAAGGAAGGAAAGTTTCTAAGATGCATCTTTATTTACACAGTTTGTCACTTTCTGCCATCTTTGTACTGCTTTTGTATTGTATGCAGCTGAGGTAAGAGTCTGTTCCCTGACTGAGCTTGATTTCATCTCCAAACAATAATGGGCATTTCACTGAAGAGCTGAACAAAAAACATCTGCAGTAATTGCAGTGAAAATGGTTCTTGAGGCTGTATAGACTCACGAGAACTGAATGCAAATTCATTTGTTTCTACTTCATAAAATGAATCCCCCCACACTATAACAAAGTTTAGGGTTGAAACTTGAACTGTGAAAACAAGCGAACTTAAAGAAAATTACATTTTAAAATCTGTTCTGCACTTATGGTTTTAGTTGGTCAAATTCTCACTGAAAGGCAGAATAACAAAAACAACTCCTCTGTCCATCCCATAATGACATGAAGACCAAGTGACCTGACCTCTTACCTGCATTACTGGTAAGTACTTGGAGAAACAGACACTTCGGCATGCAGACATCACTCCAAAAAATAAAAACACAACTCAGTTGTTTTAGGTATCCTTTGTAATTTTAATTCCCATAATTTAGTTTAAATGACATTTTTTCCACTAAAATTCTTAAATAAAACATTACAGTACAATATATGCAAATCAGAAGAGCATAAGATTTTGTTGTTGTTGAAGCAAGCTACAGTTTATCCTGAATTTCTTTGCATTTTTTTTTCTTCTATTTACCTTTAAAAAGGACTGGACAGTTGAGAAGCAGTAAACAGTAAGAAGACGACACAGAACTGCAAAGCCTGCAGGCCGGCCAAGGAGCACGTTTTATTACAAAAACGACCAGAGAAACAGACGATGGCACGCCATGTTCAGACGAAGGTCTGATTTTTTTTAACCCCTCTTATCTGTAATGAGAGATGGTTCTATACAACCATGAGAGGGCGCTATTACCCCAGTCCTGTGACGAGTTGCACCTTTAACAGCATGTGATGTACATTCAGGGAACGAGAAGAAAATGGCACATTCTGTGTAGTTTCTGTTTATAAAATTATTATAACAATACAACAGAAGCACACGTGCTCCCTAAATGACAATTTAGCCAGTTGCCAAAATGATGCCCCTCTTTATGGTGAGGAAAGTGGCAAACTACGCCATCTATCGGCTGAATTTACTGAACTAGAAAAAAAACAAAAACATTTTTCATTTATAAGATTTCAAGTTTTTTTTCTGTCTTGAGGTTACTTTGTAATGTTTTTGTGCACAGAAAGTTTTGGACCAGATGTCAGATAAATTAATTTATTAACCTTAAAGTTTCAAAAACAATATGCAATGTTTTTTATTTTATTTAAAGTTTAGCTTTTCCTCCCATAGGACTGAGCAATGTGCCCCTTTTTGGCCTATCAGTACGATGAATGCATGGAGAACAAAGAAACCAAGAGAAAGCGAGTTGCACAAGAGGCTTGCACAGCGTGTTGATGTTCACTTGAAACGCCACAAGGTGAGGAGCTAGAATATCAGCCTCCTGCTGTTAAAAAGCAAAACACCATTCAACTCTGAAGTGCCCTCCACACTCAGAAAAAAATTATGTAGAAATAATTTCACTTTTTATTACAGTAGCTTTCAGTTTATATATATGCTACTGCAGTAAAAAAAAAAAAAGTCTAGCATGTCTAGAGGGCGCTATGGAAGCAGCTGAAATGGACGCAAGGGTTAATGCCGAAGTGAGATTTTAATTCCATCTCTGTAAAATGAGATTCTGCTCTGTGTGCTGATTACAGTCGTCTCCCTGCTGAAAGGTCGCGAGGTCAAATCTCAGTCAAAGCATATATGTGTGGAGAATAGCGTGTCTG